AATGGTTGGAGTCAGTCCAGCCACCAACGGACACCAGCGCCTTGGTCTTGGTAGAATGCAGCTGCGAGACAACGCTGGACAGGTACGAGGTCCCGTCGAACTTCAGCGAGCCATCCGCTTTGGGAACGCCAAATGCCAGCGCAACGTGAGTGTACTTGCTGTAATCAACTTTGGCAGCAGCATCACGATTCCAGGTAGGCAGATAGCCAAACACCGCGAGGTCAGCCTGGACCACAGCGCAGAACAGCGTGCCAGCAGCGAGGGCGATAGCGGTAATACGCATTATATTTTGATTTTGAGGCGTTTATGAAACTGAAAGCGTCAAGGTAGAGAGGCGGCAGAATAAGGAAGAGGAGGGAGGGGGAGGAAGGGGGATATCGTAGCTGAACTCTGGTGGTTAGAGAACAGGTAGGTAGAAGTAAGAAAGCGTGTAGAAGAGGAGACAGCGAGGATAGCGGTCCACAGCTCTCGCCCTGGCACATCTCTATTTAACGGTCTCTGCGGTCCGCCATGCACACCCCCGGTCCGCCCTGCCCCTGCGCTGAACTGCGGATTCCATGACACCATACCGGTCCAGCCAACAAGACACCGCCTATTGTGCAATCCCCCCAAAACAGAATGCCAGACCGTTCCCAAACTCGGTCTCATGCATGCAAATTGATAGCACTTCTGCGTTTCGGTGGTGTGTACATTCCACTATCAATGAACTTCCATGCCGGGATCCACTCAAGATGTAGCAGAACGCACGCTGGTCTTTGTGGTCCGGCTATTTTCTCTTCTGCATCTGCTTTTTTACGACGCCGATCCATGTAGCGGAGATATTGGATGGATTGGCGTCTCTTGATTTCTAGCCTTTTATGTGCTGGTGCTGCGGAGTTCCTATTCGACGCCTTGATTTCTGGGCGATGCCTGGTTCTGGGCCAAAATCCGCTGTGATGAATCACCCATACCGAGGGTGGGCTAATGGCAGGTATCCTTCGTGTCGTCGGGCATTGTTCTCTATTTTGGCCGTGCTGGGTCATGCGGTGCGGCAGACAATGTGCTGGAATTGACACCATGTCATAGCGAGCCTGTGCAGCACAGACTAGAGCGCGGAGCTAGAGCGACAAGCCGGTGTCCAGCGCGTCTGCTCTTTTCTCCTCTTAACAGCTACCTAGCAAAATGTATATGCTCATTATTCAGTTGTGCCTACTGGCAGCGGCTTCAGCCAGGCGCCTTCCACCAAAGCCCCGTTACCACCACTCGATGGAGATCGTCAACGGAAAGCTGTGCGTTTTTGGCGGCAAGGACAACGCAACAACAACCAGACTACAGGATTTCCTGCTGGATTTCCGGTGTGTGAAACTGACCCGGCCAATCCGGCGCGTCCAGCCAGGGTGGGAGCAGCTGGAGTCGGCATCGCGGTTTGCCATGCCGCCGCTGGCACAGCAGACCAGCGTCTACGACCGCAGCAGCAGGATTATCGTGCCATATGGCGGGCAGACACCAGACGGATTCTCAAAGGCCGACAAAATCATGATATTCACAACGACCTATGAGGCGTGGGACGCGTCATACATCAGCGATGTGCTGCCACGTCGGTATATCCACTCGGCTGTGCTGCAGGAGTCCTCGGGGGACATGGTTGTTTTTGGCGGTGCCAGCGACGCAACGACCGCAGGCGAGAAAACGGCACGCTGGCGCGATCCAGCACGCATGGTGCTCGACAAGGTCCGGCACAGGTCTCATCTGCAGAGCATCGGAAGGCTGGCCGACAACGCAACCACAGGCACCATCATCCAGGACACCAACGCAATACCGCCTGAGGAAATCGCGCTGCTTACGCACCACACCAGCACGCTGGTAAACGACACGCTGATGGTGGTTCTTGGCGGCGACAACTGGAACAACTCGAAATCCGACGCCGACATGGTGCCCTTCGACCGCGCGCATGTATACAACGTTGACGACCATACATGGACCATGCAGCCGTGCAGGGGGCAAGTGCCGCCGCCGCGGTCAGGGCATACGGCTGCCTTGCATAAAGACAGCATCTACATTTTCGGAGGCGCCAACAACAGCAACTGGTCGATGATATACAATGACATGTATGCGCTGGACACCAGGACGTGGGTCTGGCGCGAGATATCAGTGCCCCACATGCCGAAGCCGCGCTATGGACACCAGATGAAGGCCCTGGGCCACTACCTGATAATCAGCCACGGGTTCCTCGAGAGCAGTACTGGCGACCCTGACATTTACTTTTTCGACACAGAGTCCCACACATTTGTCGACCGCTACTCCCCCGAGGGTATCTCGCGGTCAGAGCTTGATACTGAATGGGCCCCGCCGGTACAATCCCGAACCCACGCCATCATAGCGGTGATGTTTCTGCTGCAGTGTCTGGCCGGAATACTGCCTCTATGTCTGGTCGCCAGGAGCCTCTGGAGGATTCTTGTGGCCAGGGCGTCAAGCAGGCCGCAGCGAGACACACGTGTTCGCCGGATGAGCTCGCGCTTGGCTCGCTATTCGGAGACACTCCGCAACTTGTCCATCTTCCCCTACAAGCGCACGTCGGTGGATCCAGATACCGACCAAGCGACGGTCACCAGCCCATCCTCATTCGTGCACAGTGGGCGGCGTCGTGCCAGCAGCATTCCGCTGGAGACAATCCTCGACAAGTCGAACCGCCAGTCGATCTCGGAGGGCACGTCGACGGTGATTGGCAGTGACCAGGTGAACCAGGGAAAATCGAAGAGGAGCTTTGCGATGTCCAACAGGCGCCATTCGCGGGTGATGGACGATATCCCCGACACTCGACCGTACGTGGCCCGGCGACTGACGGTATCTGCACGCCTTCCCCAAGAGGATGTCTCGTCCACTCACCACAACACCGACCGCGTCGTCCGGTTCTCTGATGTTATTGACGAGCCAGTCATCGGCACAGCAGCATATGACAAAATCTCGCTCAGTACCCTTGATATACTGACTCCTGTTGCCGAGGTGCCAGATGCGCTGGCTGAATCGTACAGTACATTGGAGCGGCTCCACATCGTGAATGAGAATGCAGAAAGTTGACATGTGAACAGTACAGATATTAATTCGGGCGCACAGCAATTCCAATATACGAGGAACTTTCGGGTGCTCGCATGAGATACGTGGAAATGCGTGTAGCATTTAGTGGTGGTGTGATATACCGAGTGCCAGCTGAGTGGGCCAAATCACTCGCGAGAACAGGATGCATGTATTCTATCTGACAGCAGTCTATAAGCAGACACGCACTTGAAGAGCGCTAAATGACGACTGCACCGGGCCCGGCCACCACAGGAGCTCTTTCCTCACAGGCCCTTCTCATGTGTATATCCCCGGGCAATCCCGCTCCGGCCCTCGACAGCCAACATCGGCTCAGGATCGTCCTTGTTTACACTGAAGTCCTCGTTGTCATCGTGGCCCAGCCCGCGGAACGACCGGGCGAGCAGATGCTCGGCACCAGCGCTGCCCAAAAACTGGGCAACCTGGGTGTTCTGGTTGCGCAGCGCAACATCAGCGCTACCTGCAGACTCCAGTGCGGCAGTGTCCCGCGGGGAATCGTACCGCTTGCTCTGTCGCAGGGTTCCGGTGATCAGCGAGAAGTGGGGCTCGGAATCGCCTTCGCCAGCGGATTCTCCGCCATCCTCGCTCTTTGCCTCCTCCTCGGCCAGGGCCAGGAACTCGTGGAACTCTGTGACATAGTCGCCCGTCCACTCACGGGTATGTGACAGCGCCAGCTGCAGCTCATAGGGTGTGACAATCGGGCGATAGAACTCCTTCGAGTCCACCAGGCTGTGTTCGGGGCACGCAACCAGCACAAACACCTCGATCTCGGCAAAGTTGGCCAGCTTCGGGACATTCAGCTTCCCCACGACAAACACGTAGAATTTCTTGTGTGCGCGGCGGATCATGGCCTTCAGGGACTCGACCACGCTGAGGTAGCGGGTTGCTGCAAGCGTGCCAACCACAATGCCAATGACGTCGGCGTCCTTGGCTTTTTGCACCATAAAGTACCGCCGGTTCAGGTGCTTGTTGACCTTGAACGTCTCTTCGCGCATTGCAGTTGCCCGCGGATCGTAGCTGAACACAGCCTGGCAACGCTGCGTCAGCATAATGTTGGTCAGTGTCGGGCTCTCACCGCCAATGTACAGGATGGTGTAGTCGCCGATGGCTGTGCCGGGCTCCAGTTCAAATGAGCGGCCCGGCTTGATGTCGAGCGTGGGCTCAGCCTCCATTGCTGCTGCTGCTGCTTTGCTACCATCGTCGCTGGCATCAGATTTCTTGTCGCAGCTGCCACAGCAGTTCGCACCGCAGTCCTTTTTGGGCTTGGCTGGCTCGGCATTCTCAGACCTTTGCGGCACATAGGGTCGATCAGCGACGCTGATTGTGCTGCAAGTGACCGATTCAAACCGCTTGGCTGCCTCCAGGTGCTGTGTGATCTCACTAGCGATATATGCATACGGCACGTCATACATCAGCAGCACGCGCCGTCCGTCAAGCTGCTTCTCGGCCTCGGCCACAAGATGATCGATATCGACCGGCTCCTTACCGAACACGTAGAACACTGGAACGCGTGTCGTCAGGCTGAGACATGTCCGGCCGTAGTGCACGATCAGCTCGGCCGAGTAGTGCTCCGAGGCGACCTCGTCGACACAGCAGCTGCCGTAGGATGTGTCTGCCAGGATGAACATCTTTGCTCCGGTGCGCGCGGTCAACGCGTGTGCAACTGCAGTGGAATCGGCCAGAAGCTCGTCGGGAAACTGCAGCGCGACCTTTGTGTACGAGTTGCTGGCGATGACGCTGGCGGTGCGCTCGACCTCGTAGATGCGCTCGACCTCATCGGTCGTCTCTGCGTGCTTCTCGCTGATCACCGCCTCGCGCTGGATGACGGTGCTGCCATCATCGTCGATGGGTGCTGGGGCTGTCAATTCGTTGGCCATTGTGTATGAATAAAAAAGCTTTTTTTTCGTCGTGCAAAGACGCGGACAAGTGAAGGACCGAGCCGTTGACGAGACAAGCTGGGGCAATTTTTACCGATAATTTATTGATTTGGTTTCAGATCACATTGGCGATTTGTGCAAACAGGGTTTGCAGCGCCGCTTCGCGCAGCTGGATGTGAGTGGCTTAGCGATCTGCAGCTGGTATATGGGCGACCCTGGCAGCGGGTGGTGGGTGACATAATTTTACACAGGCAGGTGAGGATGGGCGACGGGGCAGGCATCAGATAGAGTTGGACTTTACCGACAGCTCACGGGTGCTCGGCAGAACATTGATGTTGCTTGGCAAATAGGCGATGATGCCCTTGAGGCTGGTGGCGAAATTTGATTCGGTGATGACGCAGAGCAGCGACGGAATGCGGGCAATGAAGGTGAGGACGTGGTAGCAGAGCGGGGTGGTAGTCTGCTTGTAGTCCCAAAAGCCGAGCTCGAGCTGCTGTATGCTCTTGCTAACAAACACGGGAGCATTCTGCTGCTGCTTCATGCGTGCGCGAAGCACATCAACCGAGTCGATAGGAACCTGCACGTCGGTCTTTGTGTAGGGGATGTTGAGTCGCCAGAGATGCTGCAGATGGCAAATTGCCATTTCCACTGCCGACAGATTGACAGGCACGCGCAGGTCGAGGCTCTGCAGGAATTCGCAGCCAAAGCGCCGAGGCAGTTTGATATTCGAGTGCGAGATGAGCGTGACCTTGAGCTTGCGCATTGGCGACGACACACTCAATACGTTTTCCAGGAACCGCTCGGCCCTGTCCTCGCCGAAGCGGAATATGCCAAGGCACGCGATGTGCGCCTCGCGCAGCGTGCGGAACTCTGACGCATCCACCGACAGCATTCCGCGGCCTGAGCCTTCCAGCATAAAGCTGGTAAGCTGGTCACACGGAAACGCCGCCAGGTACTCATGAATGCTAAAGGGGTAGCGCCGGATATTCAACCTGCGCAGGCGGGGGAATGTATGGCGGCCGGCAGGCAGCTGCTCGGTAGCTACCCATGGCTGTGTCATGCCCATTGGCATCCCCATGTCACCGCCAGCCATTGTCTCTTGGGCAAAGTCCAGGTCGAGCTTGCTGAGCTGAGGGAACTGCGCCAACCCCTGCTGCCCGGCGGTGATCGTGTCAATGAGGTCCCAGATATGCACTGCCGGAATCTCGGTCAGGCACAGCTCGACAAGCGACTGCGCGACAATGTGCGGCAGCTGAACCGCGCCTTGTGATCTGCAGCGGATGGACAGCGTGGTGAGGCAGGGAGAGAACGAGGGCGCTGTCAGCAGCGGGTAGTGCTGGGACCCGATGACCACCTCTTGCAGATTGCTGAGCCGCGAGTTGATCAGGCGGTTGAATGGATTCTCTTGATAGAGGCTGTCGTCCACCAATGACTCGTAGCTGATGTGCTTCAGGTTCGGCAGGCAATGCGCCAGGTACTCGTTCAGGCTGGCAATGCTGCTGGAATCGTCTCCCGCCGGGCTCACGTGTGAGTACAGGCGGCCGCCCTGGTAGAAATACAGCGAGGTGACCCCCGACCAGTCGTGAGAATCAAAGCCGCTTTCCATTAGAGTTTGCAGCAGGGTCCGGGTATCGATAATGGTGTGCGCCGAGACAATCAGCAGCTCACGAGCATGGTGCGCCGATTGGCTTGATGCGAGAAGATGGATGTTTGTTTTCCAGTACGTCTGGTCCTTAGCCCAGGAGCGCTTCTGCTGCCGCAGCTCGCAGATGACCGTCCGGTACAGAAGCGGCACAGAAGCCTGGCGCCATGCAGCGCAGGTTGCTGTCAGTGGCTGGAGGTTCTCAAGTCTCCGGGACGAAATGTTGAAGGCATGTTTTACAAAGTCGTGGTAGAAGCGCTGCGAGACAAGATGCAGGATGTCTGGATTGAGTTTTGCGGTATGGCGGGCTACAGCCATGGTTGTCGTGTGAAGCTGAAAATGGCTAGAGTGCAGAATCGGGGAGAGGGAGCCAGAAAAGGTAGAGATATGGCGGGAGCCAGGCTAATCCTATAGTAGGAGGGAGCTAGGCCAGAGGCGACAATGCGACTAGCAGAAGCCAGTAGAGCAAGACGCACAGTAACTACAAAAACAAAAGCAGGGGACAGCAGACTCGCAAGCAATAATATTTACAGTGTCCAGGAGATGCTGGCAGAGTGTGAGGGTACGAGAGGAAAAGCGCAAACAAAAAACAGAGCCAGGAACAAGCGACAGAGGCCAAGAGAATAGAGGAAATAAAACGGCTAGTGCCAGAATGGCGGGTGGCAAGGCTGCGCTCCAATTTATAGAATAGCGCCAGGCGACAAGCATCTGGCGCAAACAAGGCTAATAGCTGCAAAAGTCCCTCAGGTGGACCGCTCATGGGGAGCGGTAGAAGCTCGGCCAAAACACGAGAGGGGGGTGAGTACACGGAATTGAAAGCTAAACAGGGGGCTCAACCGCCAGCAGCACAGGTGCATTGTGGCCCTCATTCTGCTCCTTGCCATGTAATTATCCAGGCTTGGCCAGAGAAAACCGCTTGAACAGGCGAGCACTGTTTGCTTTTCCGCGCTGTTGCACATTGCACGGCGAATGCGCAGGCATGGCTTGTGTTTTGCAGAAGCTGCCTCCAGTCTATTGGCCCGTGCTATATTGGCTGCTGGTCACATGGATCGCGGCATGGTTAATCTGGCAACATGGCGCACATGTATATACACATGCTGCCAGAGTGTTCTGCGTAAAAAAAAACCGTGGTGGCACTACCATGATGGTTACCTTTGCTGGTCGTCTGCCCGCCGTATACTGTCTAACTGAGGGATATTTGTGTGTCCCCAGTGAATGATGGAGGCGCTCTTGATATATTTGGCTTTTTTTTTGTTGAGAAAGTGCACCACAGGTAATTCCACGCATTACATCTTCAAAAGGGTGCGCCTGGTGATGGTGGCAGAATGCGCCGAGTCCAAGTCACATCAGAGACGAGTGGCAAGAGTACCAGAAACGGTCAGCATGATCTCAATTATGCATGGGTATGCGTGTCGCTCATGCTGCCTTGCTTGTTCTGGCAAAAAGGCCGCCGGGGCATAGAGAGAGCATGGCCGCTGTGCTGGACCCGCTTCTTGTCACAAAGTGCACAGCCCATTATGCCTCATGGCCATATTCTGGCCGGACACGACAATGACGAGGGTGACAGATCCATCCTGCATGCAGCCCATTATCTGAGAGAACCGTTGGGTGCCACGAAGCACAGGCAAATCACCTGGGCCATGGTGCCAAGCACCTTGTCACATCCACACTATTTCCACACACCATGGACGACAGCAGCGACATTGTGCTTGGAACCAGCGGGATCCACAGCATCGCCGAGTCTCTGCGGCGCGAGTCCAGGAGCCTGTATAACCGGCTGATGTCGGTCGCCGACGACGCCCGATTCGTCAAGGAGACAGCGGCCCTGTTCCCGGGTCTGCCGGTGGTGGCCAACGAGCGGTGCGGCACATGGTACGTGGACCCGCAGATAGCATCAGCTGTCTCGGTATACTTCAAGTCGACCGACGGGCACAACGGCAACTGGAAGTTCAGCCTGCGGCGGGCCAACACACAGCTTCTGGAAGCGCTCGGCACCCACCGCGGCTGCCTGGTTGTGGACTCGACTCGGCGCGGCAAGAGCATGCCAGATGCATTCTCCAAGACTATCCCGATATGGTGCGCCGTGTGGACCCGGGCAATCGCTCGGCAGCGAGGGATCCCCACCTGGGACACAAAGCTGTATACGCCTCCACAGGTTGTTTCGCGCTCGGAGCACTCCCAGATCGAGCAGCTAATAGACACCTTTGTCGCGGCGTTGCTCGGGTCCGGAATCGACATAGCCCGACACACCCACGCCATCGACAGGCCATTGCGCGCGATCTGGGTGACCCGCGACCAAGCACTGCATATGCCACCCGACCTCAGCGACGCCCCATTCACACCAGTAGTATGTGTGAGCGCCTCCAGCATTGTCAGGCAGCGGGTGGAAGCTAGTGGAGGGAACAGTCCCTTCGTATATATTCAAGGCTCGGCGGATGACCACGAGACATGGGCGCAGGGGCTGACGCCGCGATTATTCTGGAAGCACAAAACCCGTCTGCTTGCCCACAGCAACGTGTGCGAGGATGTAGCGAAGGAGGTGGTTGCGAAGGAGCGCGAGCGGGGCACATCCGGCTATGACGGCACAGATACTGAGGGTGGAGCACGGTCCAGCGTGGTGGGGAAGACGTGTGTTTCGGTGGGCGACCGGGTGAGTGGGCGGCCGCCCGAGTGCTGGCAGCAGTTTGACGCTATAATCAACTGCGGGTCGCCCGAGTACGAGCAGAACCGGGACCCGGCTCTGGAGCAGCGGTATCTGTTTCTGGACATCCCCGAGGGCAAGAAGGGCCAGGTCGCGCTGGAGAAGTCCATTCCCGCTGCGCTCGAGTTTGTCAGGCCCTTTGTTGAGGCGCGCCAGCGCGTGCTGATCCACTGCAGCCAGGGCATGGACAGATCCGTCGGCATTACGCTGGCAGTGCTGGCAAAGTACTTTGACGAGGACGGGCAGTTCCACGAGAACCCGCCAAGGCAGATCACCAAGGACTCGATTCGCAGCCGTCTGCTGTGGATTACGACGTCCCGGACCAAGGTAAGCAGAGTGCGCCGAGTGGCTTTGTTGGCGTCGCCTTTGCGGGGGACCAGCCCAACAAAGACCTTGCATCCACAGACCACCAGGCTAATCCGGATTCGTGGATCCCAATTATCTTGTAGGCGAACCCGTCCCGCGTAACGCTGAAGCGCGTCAACCGGCACTTTTTAGACTTCTTCTGAGCAGGTTTCTGGTCCAATTCATGAATTCCTTGTTGCTGGCAAAGGCGCTCTGCATGACATGCTGTCAGCCCTAGGCAGAATCCCGGTTTAGGCTCCGTCACGTGAATCGCTGCCCAAACAAGCTCAGCGCAAAGCACATGCGAGCGCAACCATTTTCCCTCTCTTCCTCCCTAAAACACGCCCTGCTGGCATTGTATTTCTGAGGCCGCACGCACCTCCCTTCCCACATTCTCTTGACACTAGCACACCCGAGCAACGGTTTCCTTTTATACAACACCTGCTGCGTTCTCCTTACAACACTGGGCCAATGTCTAGTAATTCGCTCGACGGTTATACAGTAAGTGGGCCACGGCATGAGGAAAAGTGCAGTATTACCGAGCACCCCCGGGCGTTGTAATGACTGAGGCTGGGGCTTGCTGCATTTGTAATGCGCCTTTTGACCTTGCAAAAAACAACACTGATAACCCCTGCTGTAGCTGAGCATGACCGACCGAAGCGCGTCGTTCGAGCGGGCACTGACAATCATGCAGAACGAGTGGCGCCGGTTCGAACTGGAGCGGGTAGACTGGGACGTGGAGCGCATAAAGCTCAAGGCGCAGCTCAGCGAGACAGAGAAGCGCGTCGCACAGCTCACCTCGCTCTACAACATCTCGCTCAAGCACATCTCGGTACTGGAGGGTCTGCTGCGCGATGCCAAACAGAGCAGCAAGCAGACCGACAACCCTACCACGTCATCGGCGAAGACCGGGAAGTCAGCGACATCGGTTAATTCAGCAGGCTCGTCGGCCTCATCATCATCAGGAGTCTCGGTCGAGGAGATTGTGACCATGACCCGCACGCGGCGTGAGAAGAGCCGCGAGATGCTGTCACAGTGCCTAGGCCAGATCGACGTGCTGCTGGGAACCAGCACGCGGGAGAACGGTACGGGTCTAACACCGCCGTTCCCTATAAGCGACGTACTGGATCCGAAGACGCCGTCGCCGGTGATATCGCTGCGGCGAACGCAGTCGCCAGATAGCAAACAGAAGGAGCGCCCAGGACAGCCACCGCAGCAGCCTACACCGTTGCAGCGCCTGCAGAACCAGGAGCAGACAGGTAGTGTTGCCAATGGGAAAGTCACCACTGACAAGCCCGCAGAAAAACCCGCAGAAAAACCCGCAGAAAAGCCAGGGTCGACGTTTGAGAGTGCCAGCGACCCAAAGTTCACCGTGGGCTACTGGCCAAGGCCCAGCAGCCGGGGCGGCGTGCGCATCAACGAGCATGAGCGGGCACGGCGCCTATCGCAGCCGCCGCCAATAATCACAATGTCAGAGATTCAGTCGGAACGGCCCAGCAAAAAGACGGCTTCGCACAGCGACTCGGAAAGCACGGCTGCCTCCGTTGACTCGGCAAGAGCGGGCACTGCCCCGCCCGTACCTGTGAAGCCGGCAGCACTGAAGGCGGTTGCCAGGCCAGCGAGGAGGATGCCCGACGAGCAGCCACTACATGTACTGGAACAGCAGGCACCGCTGCAGAGCAGCGAGTTGCTAGCCGACGTCGACAACGCCCTTCGCAATCTGACAGTGGATGAGGTCGATTCAGGGCTGGTGCGGGCGGTGCACTACGAAGTCAGCAAATCGTTCATTGGCCACGTCGACCTGGTGCGTGCACTGACCGTGCGCCAGACACTGTCTGATGGCCCGCAAATGCTGAGCGGCGGCGACGACGGACTGGTGATTCTGTGGGATGTGGACCGCAGTGAGCGGCGAAGGTCCAGGAGACGGCCTGTGTCTGACGTCATGCCCTCCAGTGTCTACCGCGGGCATCTGGCTGCCGTCACTAGTGTGGCATTCTCGGAGGGCCACGACTATGCGTACTCTGGCTCCCTGGACAGCACAATCAAAGTGTGGGCCCTCCCTGAGAACAGCCAGGTCGGCGACACCGACTCCATTCCCTGCTTCCCGGTGCGCGAGTTTAGCGAGCACACCGACGCTGTTTGGGACCTTGCATTCGACGTGCGTCGCTCGTTGCTGGTGTCAGTGGGAGCAGACAGCGCCTGCCATGTGTGGAGCACCGATGCAAAGCTCAAATCTCAGCCGCTGCGGCGCACTTTGCCTGAGTTAGCAAGCACACCCACCGCGACGTGCTTTGTGATGGAGGATGCGATGCAGTTTGCCGTAGCCTACGCAAACAGTGGGATAAACGTGTACGACTCGGAGACCGGCCAGCTGGTGGCCTCGCAGCCACCGCCCCACGAGCTGCCAGTGTCAGCAAATCTGCAGCGCCGCCAAGTCGTCACACGGATCCGGAGCAGTACCGACCACAACATCCTGGCGGCCAGTGTCAGCGACGGTTCAGTGCGGCTTGTTGATACGCGCACCATGAGGCCCACCAGCCCGGTCGCAGATCCTGGCCCATGAAGGCTATGCAGCCACAAGTGTCGATGTCGGCAGCAGCGCGCTGGTGACTGGTGGATCGGATGGGCTTGTGCGCTGGTGGGATTGGCGGAATACCAAGTGCGCCTTTGAGGCTGCTGCCCATCTGAGAAAGGGGCATGAGGGCGTATGCGATGTCGGATTTGTCGGCCGACAGGTTGCTAGCGCGGGCAGCGACAGTTTGTTGAAGCTGTTCAAGTAATTGCGCCATATAATTTTAGCACCTTTCTCTTTCAGCTGGCTGTTTGAACAGCCTTCTATATTAATAGCGATGTTGTGACTATAAATGTTTTATTTTATGCGGCGTCCAATGTATATGTTCTGGCGCATGGTAGGTACGGCATATGTGGCAATAGCTGTTGAGGGATAGCATAATGCCTGTAGCTCCATGCCTGGTGTTGACCTGTGTACCCCTACTTGTGGAGGCAGAATTCCGGACAGCCAACTATTTTATCCTTTGCATAGCCTTTCCTTGCATTATGTACTGAAGCGTGCTATAAGATAACTAGAATGATGCAAAGCTAAGGAACCCCCACTTTTGTGCTAGGCAGTGACTAATGTACTCTGTTGACATTTGGGGTCCAGAGTCCCCCTGTTCCACCATGGGCAAGGCCGATAACGCCTACGTACAAAGCCCCAGGCAGACAATCAGCCTCCTTTCCTCCCCTCAGTCATATTTTTGAGGAGCTCTATTTCCATACACCCGATAACTACCCATCCCCTAGGTTAACACGTACCTTGACTATGCGCTTAACCCATGGTGCAAAATCCATAGAAAGAGGGACCGTGGCTACAGTGCACTCGACAGGAAGTACTTCATTTTGAGAGCAGTGGGGAATTGCACATAGTAGACATCTCATCGCTTTGGCGATAAACTTAGTGACAATGTGTTGGACACTAGTCGATGGACTACACAGTTAGTCCTAAATCGGCAAGTCACTGTGAGGAAAATCCTGACTAGACAGCCCACCAACTATGTGACATTGAGTTTCTCTCTGAAAGAGCTTTTCTTTTTTCCTTCTTCATCGGTTTAGCCGCTTAGTATTTTCTCATTTCTTAGTTATAAAACTTTGCATATAACGCCTCAGTTTACATTACAATGACAGGTAGTCTTTGTGGATCCCACCCTTATCATCCACTGGACCTTGGAAAGCACATTCCCTATATTCATTGCCAGTAATGGTGATGCTTGTTAACCTTGGGAATGGGACGAGTGTTTACGAGCGTGTATGTGAGCTAAAATAAAAGTGAAACAAGATTGACTGAAGGAAAAGGGGAGGGTCCGGTCGGCCTGAGGTCTGATTTTATGTGGTTTGGTTGTTGGCATGGTGACGTGGGAGTGGATCAGCACTCCAATGTCAACAATGCTATCTTTTCCAACCGCTACAAGGAACATATAAGTTGCTATGCAACCTCTCATCCTTAACCTCCTTGTTGATACTTGTATACAGCATGGTTTCATAGCAGATACATCTTGTGGAAAGGTACATAAGTTAACATACAAAACAGTTGCAGGAGGCTGGCCACCAACACATTTCATACTTGGCATACCTCAGTACATATGTATCAAATGAATATAGAATAGTAGTGATGGAAAGATACTAACGGACATTGATGTAAATGGCACTATCTAATAAAGACATAATCTGTCATTCTGAGGACAAACATGCTTTTATGGACTAACCGTGCAATTATCAGACGATCTGGCATGGCTACTATCCCTGTGGGGATTTGCATCTACGTACAAATCAATGCGTGCTCTACACTATCTACCGTATCCTAATGTGTGAGAATAATCGATATTGTAGCCGGTTACTTCAAGAATGGCCCGTTGAAATCGGCATTTGCCCCCCTCATCCAGACACATTCAATCGTAAAGCGCACTGCGGTTTGATTTTTCGTTTACATGCCTCATTTGTATAGAGCGGCCTTTTTGCTTCTAACTGGAAGGAGACTGGCCACCTATTAAAAGCAGCTGTCTATCATTAAAACACAACTCTCGGCACTTTCTCGTTCCTGATATCTATTTTTTACTCTTCGTAATGCCTGATACTACGACTGCCCCTTATGGTAGCTGACAAAGCCCGCTGTCTGCAGCTGATGTCGCGTCAACGTCAAAGTATGTCGCTGAGATCCGTATCGACAAGGGCTCGCCCTCCCGTGTGTACTGGACCGAGTCTCGCCCATCTGAGGGCGGGCGCCGCACACTGCTCAGCCAGGAGACCACTGATTTTGATGGAGCCACCATACACGAGCTGACGCCCAACACCCAGTGGAATGTGAGGTCGCGTGTGCACGGGTACGGTGGCTCGCCTTATGCCGTTTATGATGGCCTCATTCTGTTCTGCAATGCAAGCGACTGCGGTCTATACCTATTTGATGCGGACTCTGCTCTGGCACCTCGCTGGATTGCTCAGCAGGATGACAAGCTGTGGTATGCCAACATGGTCATCCATCCATCCAAGAAGTTCGCTGTTGCTGTGCGCGAGGACCACCGCAATGGCGACATTGACGCCTTGGCTGCGCTGGTCGCCATTCCGCTGCCCAGCAACCTTGATGCCGACGAATTGAAGCCGACCGATGATGTTGTGCTTTTCAGCCAGAGCGACTTTGTGTCGAGCCCTGTGTTCAGCCCCTTGAACGACGAGATTGCATTCTATATTTGGAACCACCCGAACATGAACTGGGATGCGACTACCCTGCACCGTGCCACGCTCTCGTTTGACGCAAATGGGGTTGCCAACGGCCTTGATAACCTGGCAATTGTCGCTGGAGGCGAAGGTGACGTTCAGGAGAGCATCTACCAGCCGCGTTTTGACGATGCTGGCAGACTACATTTCCTTGCAGACCGCTCGGGTTTCTGGAACCCGTACTATGTTGACAGCGACGGCAAGACAAACCAGTCATTGGCGGAACCAATGAAGGTTGATTTTGCGGTTTCTGAGTGGGGATTTGGCTGCTCGACGTTCCAGCCTGTGCTCAGAAAGCCAGATGAAGCCGTAGTTCGCTATATCGCTGGCAGCAGAGCACACATGTACCACTTGAATGTTGTTACACGTGAGATGGCCGAATTGCCGACTCCCGAGTGGTCCGTCATGGATGCATTCCACTTTGGTGTTGACCCGAAATCCGGGTCTCAGGTCCTCATGATGCTTGGTGGTGGGCCAAAAAGCATTGTCTCCCTCTTCACCTACTTCATGAACGACGCATCCGATGCCAAGCAGCTAGTATTCGGTGCCGCCAGTGTCACTATGCTCAGCGATGAGGATATTTCTATCCCATCAGAAATCGAATTCCCCACCCGTCTGCCACCATTTGACAACGACCAAATCGGCCAAGGTAGGTCTGAGGCAATGGCGTTTGCCTATTTCTATCCACCGGCTAACAAGGGCTTTGCTGGACTCCCTGGAGAACTGCCTCCTCTTCTTGTTCTCAGCCATGGGGGACCGACTGGCCACGCTGACCCAGTCTACAATCTGCAGATCCAGTTTTGGACCACACGCGGATTTGCTGTCGCTGATGTAAACTATGGTGGATCAACCGGTAAGGGCCGTGCCTACCGCGAGCGGCTTTATCCATGGTTTGGCATCGTTGATATGCAAGACTGCTGCGCTGCTGCCCTCCATCTGGCAGAAACCGGCAAGGTCGACAGACAGCGTCTGACAATCATGGGCGAAAGTGCCGGTGGATTCTGCACATTGGCTGCGCTTACATTCTGCCCCGAAGTATTTGCTGCTGGTGCCAGTATCTGCGGCGTGGGTGACCTGAAGCTGCTTGCACAAGAGACACACAAGTTCGAGTCCCACTACATTGCTAAACTTATCGGTCCGTATCCTGAGGCGCGTGGCCGCATTGTTGCCCGGTCGCCTATCAATTCTGTGGACAGGCTGGAGTGTCCGACTGTGTTTTTCCATGGTGCCGATGACAAAATTGTGCCACCGAATCAGGCGACAGTGCCGGCTGAGGCACTGAAGGATAAGGGCGTCATGGTAGCGCATGTCGAGATTCCTGGCGAGGGGCATGGATTCAGGAAAGCAGAGAATATCGTGCTCGCACTTGAAGGACAGCTGTATTTCTTCGGCAAGGTCCTGGGATTCACTCCTGCTGGCCACATTCAGCCAATCGAGATCTTTAATGAGAAGTAAGCGCTGCTTCTCGTGACACATTCAATAATATAGCATGTGAGGTCCAGGACGCAAAGTGGGAAGTGCTGGGCGGTGGAAAGAATAATGGCAGTGGACTGAGTGTGGTAGGGTACGAAAACTCCTGGTAATATGATAAAGTGCCGGGATTAGGTGTGTGTGGATGGTGCTGGCCTCGAGACAGCAACCCATTTCAAAGCCACCATTTCAAAGCCACCATTTCAAAGCCACCATTTCAAAGCCACCATTCCAAAGCTTGACTTCCTAGACCACCTGGTCCCGCCTTTTTCTCCTCAGTAATTCTGATCCCATCTTATTTTCTATATAATCCGACAACACTTACTCTGGCGAAGGTTGACAGGCTGCTGCTGAGTGATCCAGTTGTGAGTATATTACCACGTTGATTATGATGAAAGTAAAATTCACTGTGGACATAAATGCTATGGATATATATATGAAGCAAATGCATCAGCTAGTATATCATTCACTGAGCCACATGCGTAATTTGTCTATACAAAACAGGCAGGCAGTGCATGTAGCAAGTCTACACTTTAACAGTTGCAAAATGTGTTTCTACAAGCAAACCACGCGTAATGAAATCCATGAAAGCTATATTAAATGGCTTGAAAGAATCTTCACCATGAAGGCGGCAAACCAATCAAACGGAATGCAGAGTTTAGAACCGGCGCTAGGACCGCTGAGCTCACAGGCTCAGCTTGATCTTGAAGTCATTCATATTGGGAGGGGGCGTGCACAGTCATTGTACAAACACGTCGTCCTATTGATACCGAAGCGGGTCGGGCTGCTCATATCAAATACCGCCGCCAAGCTGCTCAATCTGCACGCCAATATCATGCTGCAAAGATGCGTCCTGTGTCTGCGCCTGGATGCGCCTCAGCAGACCAACATCCTTGCCTGCAACGGCCACCTGTGCAGCTTCATGATAGTACCCGATACGCAAAAACAGCTCTGCCCGCTCCCCTTGGTCGCACTTGGCGATATATCGGGCCGCCTCCTGATATTGCAACGCGCCAATACATTCGTCGACAAATGCACGGTACCCAATGGGCGGCTTGCGTGCGTTCGCCAGGCGTGCTAGCTCAGCCCAGTCACGGCGTTGCACCAGTGCATGCACCTTTATCCAGTAGAATCTGCGCTCAGGCACCTTGAAGTCGCCCTTGAGTTTGTTGGCTCGTGTATAGTTTCCCCGGGCCATGCATTTCGCCACAGTCTCGTTGACTGTCAGCCCGACGAATTTCTCGCCTTGCATCTCTTGTTCAAGCTGGTACTGGGCCTTCAGGCAGCTTGATATGTGCGTCCATCGCCTTTGTCTGCCGCGCGCTGGTCTTGTCCTTCTGCAGGATGTCCAATGCAACCTTCAAATTTGCTACCAGCTCGCCGACATCGTGCTTGTCCAAGTTGTCAATCAAAATTAGCTGCGCTGATTTGCGGCGCGCGTCTTCCTGGTAATAGTAGTCTCTGAGAACTGGCGATTTCTGATCGATGCAGTACTTCTCAAACAGTTGGCCAGCAACACGGCTGTGGCTGATAACCTTGAAGAAGTCCACCAGCTCCATCGCCTTGAACAGATGGAATATGACAAAGTACACCAGGTCGGCATCTCCACTGCGGATCGCCTCGTCCATTGCTGTCGATTCCTGGCCCATCGATATAAGTAGCGGGACCTGGTTGCCTGCCCGCGGCTCATGTTTCAGTAGCCGGATCGCCAGCTTCTGGTATCCAGTAGTATTGGCCACCTCCGCAATATCCACGTACGAAATACCCGGTACACTCTGTAGCTTGCTCATGATGATCTTGTACAGCGCATCGTCGTCGATAGTCGATGCCCGGATCTTGGCACACGCCCAGTGTATGTACACCTGATCTGCCGGCTCCTCCATGTAGCGGCACATGAGTATGGCCAGCTGATGCTGGTTGCGGTTCAGGAGTCGCGCAATCCAGTCCTCAAACGGCTGGCTCAGGAACTGCATAGTCGACACAGGGATGCCATTCTCATACTGTGCTAGGCAGTTGACGATGCGCAGGTGTTTGCAGATATCAACTAGCTTGTCGCCGTTGTACACGTCCAGGAAAGCCTTGCCAAAGCTCGCTGTACGCAGCAGCGCCTGCTGTATTTCAACTATAGGCTCACAGCTCGCTGCTGCTATGCATGTGTCAATGGCATATGGCAGGTCGTCGCCCAGGTCGCGAATGGTCGAGCCAGCTTGCGACGAGTGTGCCTTTATGTTTTCCAAGGAGTCATACAGCATCGATGCCGGTGTTTGCAGCCCAATCTGGAACACAGCCTTGCTTTCGTCGCTGACTTTGAACAGAAACTCGTGAGCCTCCGAGTTGAACATGCGCACCCCATCCAGCTCCTGTACCAGGCACATAGGTTCGTCCGTAGGGAAGACCAGAGAGTCACCGAAAGGGCCCAGGAGCACTGCCTCCGACTCATAGCTGATCACTACTGCGTCGCTGCCGCACCATGCAATATCCGCCGGCCGCTCAGCCGCTCCATGTTCCATATCCGAGAACGACTTTTGGAAGTCGGTTGACACCACCTGCACACGGCCGCTTTCTGAACAGAGGACCACCAGCCGCCCGTTAGGAGATACCGAGATGCTGGAGAATGGGCCAGAGTCCAGCAGCTGGTCCTGTGTGCCAACTGCGTCGATCTGCAGGATTGTCTTGCCCGACGACAACAGTATCTCTACGTGGTGACTCAGACTTAGGTGTGGTGGGATGATGGTCCAGCTGCTCACCTCTCCAGTATGCTTGCCAAGCATCTTGGGCTTCGGCTCGTATATGTCGTTCACGTATATGAGCTTTCCGTCGGCGGTGCGCGCAACAAAGCCCTGGTCCCAGAACCGACAGTCGACAACACCCGCCTCCTTGGCCTCATTGCCCAAGGAGAATGCCGATCCAGGCGCACTCAGCCCGAAGACACGCACACTGCCGTCCTCATGCACGCATACAAGCTCCTCGCGGCTGTTCCAGCTAAACGCAGCAATGTGCAGTCCGTCGTATTCGATTTTGCCAATAAGCAGCCCGCTGGCCCGAAAACACATGGATGGCCCGAGTCCAGCAGCGGGGATGGGCCAGCCTCGAGCAGCTGCCGGTCGTCGCGCAGCAGCGCTATAGGGCCGCCGAATGACGACGCTGCCACGCGAAAGTTGCGCAGATTAAGGTCGGCCCACTGCATTTGGTACAGGCGGTGCTTGCGGTAGTAAACATCCTGCAGCTCGTGCCACTCTGCTGTCGGCGTCAGTGGTCGTCATTTCAAAATTAACAGGCCGTGCAGAAATAATACAGATAATTCGGTGTTGCAGTGGGGAGCAGGGAAAAGTGACGTCGCAGGCTTGTGCCAAGCACACGAAAAATAACAGGCCAACAGCTCAATCACGTGGTGTAATCCGCTGATTGGATTTCTGGTGCTGATCAGCCAGATGCAGATCCCGTGATTATCGTCAAGATAAGATGCCACGCCCATTTTCGGCAGCCATCTTGGGCGACTAAGGTGTGGAAACCCATCGCTTGCGGTCGAATTCGAAACACCGAGACCGCACTGCACGGCTGGGGAGTCCAAGCACCTATCTCACCTTCACTGAATCCTCCTCGTTTGTTTTTCAATTCGCACTCTAACAAAGGAGACGGCTATTTGTATTATTTCTCTGCTTCTTTCTTTCAAATTCGTCGCTTGCGC